CAGTTTTTGATGCTGAATCTAGAAACTTAGGTTCAAGCATTGAAACCAAAACGCGAAAAAACTATGTCCTCGGGTTTTGACACCTTTCGAGTTTTTCCAGTTTTAGGACGAGTAAAAAGTCTCTAAAAAGAACGAAAAACAACACCCAAAACAAATGGATTTAAAAGCATTGCTTTTCGAGACGAAATACGTGACACTCTAATGAAAAACAATCATGATTCCAGCGTGTCCTACTAAGTCTTAGAGATCATGCACTCGTTTCCAGTACAACGCGTGTTCTGTTATAACTGAACGGAATAATGATGCGCTGATGAAAATTAATTACGCATGCATGACTGAAGAATGTTCTGAAATTGTAATGAAATTTTTATTAAGTAAACTGATGTTTTTAAATATTTTAAGAAAATTTCTTTGTTCAAACAGCTGTATATTGATTGACGCACAGAAGTCATTCTGTAGTTCGGTATGTTCCAGCTTGTGTATGAATAGTTCTGGAAGCTTTTAACAGATTTTTTGGTCGACTAAAAAAGGGAAATGTGCGGTACATGTAATTTTCGGGTAGAACCTATTGAATCATGGAAAAACAAAGTTTCGCAATTTTTCGGGAGAATTTTCGACAAGTTACGATTTTAAGGTACAGTTTAATTTTTTGAATGGAACGTTTGCAGTTGATTAACTTTGTAGACCGTCGCAGAACATACTGTAGTGTCTAAACTATGTCCAACAGATCTTAAAAGTAAGTAAAAAAGGAAATACAAATTACGACGGATAACAAATGGTGACAGAGAACCACCAGAGGATATCTCTATTAATCAGCATCTGAATGATTTAATATTATAGCTTTTAATAACAACCAAACAAGTTCTCTTAAAAGGCTCTAACAGGAAAATTGAGTTTTCGAGTTGAATAGCCAATCATCGATACCAACACTGTTCTCTTTCTAGTTTTATTCGAAGATCAAACTTCTCAAATAAACCTTATAGCCTAAGCTATTAGCGTTAAGATTTGTTCTATGATATCGGAAATTGATAAGGCCTAGTTTTCTATGTATACTCTTCGAAATAATTCTCCGGCAATGATTTTTCTGAACCAGTGATGAAAAATAGGATATTGGTTAAGCAGAAAGTTTTGTGCCACTTCTGAGGTACGTACGTATATGTATAATCATTTTTCTCAAAACATTGAACTAGTATATGTTTGGAATTAGTCTCCTTTGTTCCCTCCTATACAGTATCTAATCCCAAACTTATTGTTAACAAATCCCCTATGCAAACAAGTGCTAAATGAAACAAATGTATTTTAGTTTTTTTTCCTCATAGTACCAGACACGAATGCGTGATATCATTTTGCAACATAACTTATAACTCTCTTCATTCATTTATGCCATGAAAAATGACTGTGCAAAACCATATGCTACACAAATAAGCGACCTCGAATAATAAAGTTTTTTATGCATTTTCCTCAGTATGACAATTTATTTATCTGACAAAAAGATGACTAGTTTTCTCAGAATCATTTCCAGTTTTTCTGACAGTTCCCTATAATTTGGAGACTTTGTCCTAATCTCAGTTGATAGAGAATTTTCCGCTCTATAAAAATATCAAGTTGGATTGTCCAACAAAAAATTTCTCCCACAGTAATACTTAAAACATCAGCACATGCCTAATGTTCCTACTGTGACGGGCTTGTTTTCCCTGTTTATAAAAATGTTTCCGCGTATCAAATTGATCTCAGGAGCAACTTCTTGTAGAGCAAACGATAGAGAATTTTGTCGTCTATCGAGTTGATCGGTCTCAGAAGTTTCAGAAGTAGTATTCGAGTTTAAAACATGGTTAAAAATATTTTTTATATTTTATTTTTTATTCTTTTTAATATTTTTAGAGAGAATTTAATTCTGAACAAGTCTATATGATTAGTGAGTTGTACCTTGAAAAGTTTTCAGAGGATATGTGTTGAAAAATGGACAAGACCAAAGGGAGAACAGAAAACTCAGGATTTTCGCGCTTAGGGCTCTTTTTTACGTGAAAAGTCTTACAAGAGACTTTTCTAAAATTACGCTGCATGCACCCAAAAAAACGGAATTTTAATTTAATTCCAATGTTTTCATCATATTAATTGACTTTTGAGAACTAGAACGTATCACAATTTGTTCAGCGTTTTACGCTCTTTCGAGTGACATATATAGTTAAGAAGTATAAAACAGAGAAAAGATGGAAAAATAATGAAAATGCGAAAAATATGTACTTTTTTTGAAGAGGAGGCATCTAATACTAAAATTTTTCTAACTCGATACAAAAACATCCCCATAGTCTAAAAGCTTGGACCTATGGGTTATTTTGAACGGAGATTCGAAAAATCGAATGAAATTGATTAGAAAAAATTCTAATTTTTAAGTATGTTCTGCTTCTTGTTACACATACTTGATTCTCTCGCGAGCCGTACCTTAAGAGTACATTTTTGCGGTTTTTAGCAAGTTTGAGGAAGCCATAAAGGAAAAAAAGCTAATTTTTCAACTATTGTTGCTTTTTTTATGAAATACGTTGTCTGAAGATTTATTATTTCATTGATGCTTTTTCTCGAGCCTTTGTCAACAATCACATAACAGCCAATAAACTGACTGTTACCTGGCAGTTTTTAACAGTTATTTGGATGTTAAAAGCCAGTTTTTTGGGCATATATTTAAAACACATTACATGATTTATCAAGTGTCACTTATGTTTCACCTGTGAGGCAGTATGAAACAGAAACAGCGAAGCATCGAGAGTGGAATAATGTAGAGCGAAAAATAAATTGTTTATTCATAAAAAAAGAATATCTAGTGAGACGAGAAAAAAGAAAATTATAAATCAAACGCTCAAACACTTTAGAAACAACGGAAAGGAGAGGGACAGGACGATAGTTGGCAATATCGGCAAAAGCGCCATTTTTGTGAATAAGAACAATTAATATGCATCTTTCTTTCTAAAAGTACATAGATAAGAGCTGATAATTTTAGCAAGTGTTCTATTTATATGTGCAATCAAAGTGACACGTATAGGAAAAAGTCAAAATGTTTTCAAACAATAGGAACAGTCCACATTGTGAATTGAATTGGTAAAAAAGAAAGAATAGCCAAAGGTAGTCATCTTCATGTTGGTTGTTATAGTGATGCTAATAAGTTCCTAATAGTATTACAAAAGATAGTTGATGGAAACATATAACTCAAGCAAATGATATTTTATCTATTTAACATTGTTCTTAACTTGTCTGATGAACTGTAATAACTCACAGATACGTCGAATAGGTTATTTGTGAATTATCAACTAAGAATCTTCAGTGGTGCTCCATAGTTTATTTAATTTTAGTTATTTTTTAATTCCATTGAATTCAATAGATAGGAAGAATGAATGAATGAACGCTAAAACAAGAGAAGTGAAAGTTAGATGTAAATAAGATCATTCTAAGTTTTAGTTACCAGTGAGCTACATGTGGTTTCTTTACATAACTGTGTCTTGTCTTCTATATTATTTTTTTTCATTTTGTTAATGAAATAAACCTTTTTCTTGTGACACTCTAATTGTTTTTCTTGTGATTTTTGATACTTCTTTTATCTATATGGCATCATTAACTGTTTGTTTATTTCTTTATTTATCTATACGTATTTGTATCTCAGAAACAAATCGTAGATCCAATACTGAAATGTATAGTGTTTGTCTATTTTAATTCCGAAACAGAAAAAAGTCAGTCTATTAGAACATTGATAAATACCTGTTAACCTTTTAGTGAATCAGTTCATTCTCGATGCAATTGAGCATCTTGTATAGATGTTTGACTGCTGACGTTGTATCGTTAATGTGTACGCATGAAATTACGGAATTCCTGCGTACCACGAGTGGCTTGATGTAACACTTCGAGTGTTTAATATATTAGAGAATTTTCTGCTACATTCTGCGTCTGTTTTTAAATGTCCAAATCTGTGAAGAAAACACTAGATAATACAACACGAAGCATTCCTAAAAATACTGCATAATTTTGTGTAGCGAGAACGCTTGCATACAACAACATGTCCTGTTTTGATGAATACAGAAAAGTAGAAAATAGATGCGAGAAAATTCTTACATGGAACGATTAGAAATGAGTATGTTATTTGACCTTTTGTAGATATTCCATTTGGCTCAGATAACTAAATTTTCCTTCGTTCATTCACATAAAATATGCAACCAATTCTAAAGTTCATCCAACGATGTCCGTGCAGTGTTTTTATGATGCCAAAACGAACAGTAACAGCAGATGTAAGTAAGACATACGAATTTAACTTCGTTAAAATTGCTTCAATCTGTTTATTTTTCTGTTCTAGACTACTACGCGTTGGCGAACCGCTTATGGTGGACGAAATACAGTAACACTAATTCATGGTGATGGAGTAGGTCCAGAATTAATGGAATATGTCAAAGCGGCTATTAGGTAAATGGCTGTGCTAGCTTTCCTTTTCTGATCGTCCCAATCAAAACCGTTTATCTAATTAGCAAGCTGATTCTTGTTTATTTTTCATGCATGATTTTATTCAGTTCAGATGTGTTCGTGCTCCTGTTGATTTTGAAGATATTCCATTGTCAAGTCATGTGGCTAGTGATGAAATGTTTGAGCGAGCAGTGATGGCTGTTAAAAGAAATGGAGTTGCCTTAAAAGGTGAATAAAAACAAGCATTTCTTTTTTAATAATTTAACTTTATTTTGTTTGTTATATTATAGGAAATATATCCTCGCAAAATACACTGCGTTCACTTAATGTTCTGTTGAGGTAATAATTCTAGTTTCTTCACTCAACCGTTCTCCTACACAACGTAAAATCTGCCCTCTCTATCTTAGAACTCGTTTGGATTTATTTGCCAATGTGATTCGTTGTAAAACAAGTCCCGTAGTTCAAACTCGTCACAAAGATATCGATATACTAGTGATTCGAGAAAATACGGAAGGAGAATACAGTAGTTTAGAACATGAAGTAATTGATAGCTAAGTCATGCATTCAAACTATTCTTATTTCTTCTTTTACTTCTGTTAAGAGTGTTCCAGGTGTTGTTGAATCATTAAAAATTATCACACGTATTAAATCAATGAAAATTGCACGTTTTGCGTTCAAACTAGCTCAAGAAGGTACGTTGTCCGATTTGAATTTCATTAAGATTAAAATTAAAATTCACCGATTTTTTTTTTCTCTAGATGGTAGAAAAAAGGTGACAGCTGTACATAAAGCAAACATCATGTAAGTAGCCGAAATTTTTATTTATATTTTATGTGACCAGCAAATCTACGACAGACCGATTGAGAAGTTGAACAAATCTGCAGTTTTTATCTAAACTTTGTTTACTAAACAAGAAATCCAGATAAAAACTCATTACATGTTGTGCATAATTGCACAATTTTCAAGCATAAACATGAGATAGAAAGAAAAACAGAAAGAAAACAAGCACAAAAATTAAAATAAAGACTCAGTTGAACAAATAATAAACACTAGTTGTAGGAAACATGATTTTATAAGGACAGAGAAAACATATCTACACAGTAGTTCTGGAGGAAACAAAAATATTAGGGTATCCGGCAGCTCATGAATGTATGGACTAAGAGAGTCTATCAAAGAACATGACTGACTGCCAAATATAAACGTACTAGAAGAACAAACACATCAATTATGGTAAAACCGTTGAGGTTTTCAAAATAACAATTTGTTGTATCAAAAATCTAATATGTATAGTTTGTGTTTAGGAAATTGAGCGATGGCTTATTTATTGATTGTTGTAGAGAAGTCTCACAGGACTATCCCGATATTGCATTTGATACAATGATTGTCGAGTATGTACTTAAGTTAAACACAAAGTGAATAATAAAGCATAAATCTTTCTTTTTTTTTTGTTTTCAGTAACACATGTATGCAGGTATGTCTATTACTTTCTTTTTTTAGCGATATTTCTCACATTCATTTGTGTATTTTTCAGCTTGTTAAAACGCCTCATCAGTTTGACGTCATGGTTATGCCTAATTTATATGGTTAGATAAATGAAATAAAGCTAAATAACAGGAGTTCATTATCATATACTTTGTATATATCTAGGGAATATTATCGCAAATGTATGTGCTGGTCTTGTCGGCGGTTCAGGCTTTGTGGCTGGAAGTAATTATGGTGATCATTATGCTATTTTTGAACAAGTAAGTGAATGCACTCATATAACTCTTGGAGAGTACTGACTGCTTGTTTATTTACTTCTTTTAAGGGCACACGTAATACGGGTATGGGTATTGCTGGCAAGGATATTGCCAATCCATGTGGGATGCTATTTGCGGCTGCTAATATGTTAGAATATCTTGGGTAGATTTATTTTGAGTATGATGTTTAGTAGAATTATATAACTGATGTTTCTCTTTCATTTGTTTTAGACTAGAAAAGCATTGTTCAGCAATTAAAAATGCTGTATTAAATACAATTCAAGAACATAAATTAAAAACACCAGATATTGGTGGAAATGCAACGACATCAAAATTTGTTGAATGTATGCTCAAAGAAATAGACAAATTAACGCCAACTATAGGTATGATGAATATATCATTTTCTCACACTTTTTAGTATTATTAATTGAGTCTAATTTAATTACGTCCTATTTTTGTCTTCAGACTATTTGAGGGCTTTTTTTATCTCTTTGTTTTTGTATAAGAGCGAGACCTTCAAAATCATTTGAAGCGCAATATCAACTAATAGTAAAAGAAGTAGACTTCTGCAGAATACTTTTTCATTCTATCGTACAGAGTAGATGATTAATATTAATTGTTCCGTGTTTAAAACTATTTCTTTTTAAAGTAATCCAACTTAGTTTTTTTTTTGAAAGTTTACTATATGTTTGCTTATTTATTTCTAGGTTTCAGTTATGAAATGCAAAATTTTGATATTGGACTTCATTATAAGAATATTACTTGAAAGATGAATTTCATTATTATAAACTGTAAATGTACATAGATTAACTCTCTGAAATTGCCGACTTGTTTTCGTGTAGACGAAGAGTTAACCAAGGCGCATATAAGAATCTTTTGAACTTTATCATTTTTTCTTCTTTTCGGTCAAGGTATATTATCATTATCATTAGCATACACTTGTTCACTCATATCTGAATCAAAGAACGTCCAAATTCGGCACTATAGAACATGATTACAAATCTTGCTCTAGTCTCTCTCGCTTTTACGCTAGTTTTCTATCATTTACTACCTTGATCTAAACAAAATATATATACTGAAACGCGTAGGCTTTGGATAGAAAGATATCTCTACACATCTCATTAGTCTTATAGTGATCTATGTATTATTTCAGCACTAATGAGTCCATTTTTAGCTAGGATGATGATGATTGTTGGATTTCTCAACAATTATTTTTTATATTCAGCTTTTGTCTCTAAAGACAAAATCTTCAGATTGGAAATAAGTTTTTCAGATAAAGTTTCTATGATTAGATTGACGTTTAATAACAAATTAATGTAATACATTCGGCACTCAGGTTTGTTCAGTTCTTAAATGATTTATTCTTTCACAAGTACGAGAGAATTTAGCTTTAGCATTTCTCTGTTTCATCTTTTGCAATCTCCCTGTTAGCTCATTTTTTTGTATTCTAGTTTTGTTCACTTTGCTAGTTGTTATTGAAAACAAAGAACATGTAATCTTATTTATTTTTTCTCAACGTGTCATTTCTTTGTAAATAAAAGCTACACAGCTAACACAGAAATTGAATACTCAAACATAGTTTTTCACTTTTTTGATAGCTAGAAAAATAACTTAAATGTAATAAAAATGTTATGTTGACTTCTAAACTTCTAAATACTTCCTCGTTTATCATTACACGTGAGAATCACAATAGTACGTCATAAAGTTTATTCTAGTTTATTCTTGTTTTTTATGTTCAAGTTTGACTTATCTATTAACGTACATCGGGCTACTCTTAGACTTCAAAAATTGGGTAGCAGATATAAGTCAGCATAGTCGTGGAACCAGCTAATTAAAACGGGATATTAACATCTTCAAATACTTGTCTATGATAACTGAACAGAATAATGATGCGCTGACTAAAATTAATTAAACATGCATGACTGAAGAATCTTTTGAAATTGTAAAAAAAGAATTTATTAAGTAAATTGACAGATACATTTTAAAAAGCTTATCAACGCAAACCTTGGGTCTAAAGTGTAACTCCTCCATTCAAACGTGAAGGACTAAAGTGGGGCTATATGAAACCCATGCCTCAAGTGTGTACGTTTACATTAATTTGTTTTATTTGGATTAAGATGTGTAATTACCCCGTACGGGGTAATTAGAGGCACTTCACTTATACGCTTGGGGTAAATAGAGGCACTCCATTCAAATACATGGAGTTTTAATGTACAATTGCTGGTTAACTAAGCTTAGGAGATAATTAGTTCAAAAATACCTCATTTTGTAGCCCAGATCTTCCCCTCTCTACCATATAGTTTTGAGCTCATTATCATTTAAACTCATTAAGCTAATTAGCATATAATCAACAGCACAAGAATTTTTTTTTTCTTTTCATGCTTTGAGATAAGTAGAGGCACTCGTGTAATTTCTTCGGGGGTAAATAGAGGCACTCCACTGAAATACACGGAATGGTTAGAGACAAACCTTTACCGACTCTCAGAAGCCGAATTTAGTATTAGACCA